TACAGCCTCATACGAGGAGGGTAGGCACTCGGTAAGTTAGGGGTCCTGCCACAGAGGACACGACCTTCCACGTAGGAAAAGGTACACATCTTTCATCAGCTTTACTAAGACCACATCTCTTAAGTAATGACACGGCCCCCATCACTGCATCATACAAACACCCCACGGTCTTTAACCTCTCGTGTTTCGGGGCTTTGGTTGTAGCCGTCTGCTAACTATTTAGTTGGTTTAATAAAAGATATCAGATTTACCCAAAGACCCTTGTCACGCTCTTTAATGCGTGCAGGGGAAGCACTGTTTTCCTGTTCTGGGGGAAACCTTTTGACTCAAAACTTTCTCACTTCCTCTTTTAAGACACAGCTGTATAATAAACACCCTGGTACTGGAAAGAAAGGAGGAGACTTCAGACCATCTGGGGACATAGCGAGATACAGACAGACTGAAACAGCGAAACAAAGTGGAACGAATCAGGACAGAACCAAGACCAGGTAGCAGGGCGCAAGGAGAGAAGGGATGCTAAACTTGAGGCATGAAGGTGGGATGCAAGAAGGCTCTAAAATAAGGAAAAATGCAACAAAGGCGCCATGGCAGAGGAAGCAGAGATCCCAAAGCTCCCAGGTCAAGCACTGAAGCACAAGGGGATTTGGGGAATCAAACGAGCAGCAAGGAAGAAGCGAGCGGCACGATACGAGAGGCGATGAGCAACGAGGTGGGAACCACGCGAGCGGCAGCCGGGAGGGGAGCTGCACGTGATGTCTCTCCCCGCAGTGCCCGCCGCTCTGGACTCTGGGGGTCTTCCACGAGCAGCGGGAGACCCTACCATGAGCATCCGGTGGAGATGCAGTCTTTCAAGAAGAGGAGACTCTCCTTTGTGTCGTCCTAAACCAAGAACACTGCACCTGAATCTCTACGAAGCTAGGGTTTTAAAGGGGGGAAAAACCAATAAAACATCCCCCCGCCACCCCAAAAGCCCCAGCCTGAGGCTTCTCTGTCTCCTGCAGGAAACGCAGCAGTGATTAGACATCATGTGCAGAGACAACATTACATACCACGTTATTTCATTTTTCTTGTGAACGAACGTCTCGTTCGGGTGGAGGAAGGGGTCAAATGTTGGAAGAAACATACACCTAAACGTGAATCTGGGCTGTGCTTTGGGGTACATAAAAGAGCATAAGAAGTGCCAAGGTGGGTCAGCCCCACGGTCCCTCCAGCCCAGGAGATGCCTTAGAGGGAGAGCGTTCAACTGGAGAAGTGGTTCTGGTCTCTAGACACCCCTCGCTGGACTCGAGGCAGTCTCCATAACTTTGTGAATGCCGTGGCACCCAATTTCAAAAGCGAAGGTGTATGATGTAGTGCTTACTTCCCTGCAGAGGGGCTGGGCAGTGGGTGCGGGGGATCGGACGGGCAGGGACCAGCTTGAGCCTGTGCTCATCTGCTTTCCAGCAGCAGCTCCTTCTCGCTCCCCAGATGAGCTGGTGGGGCCTTTGGTGGTGGTCGTGGTGGGGTGGGAGGGCTTCGAAGGGCAAAACAGCTCTTTACTGTAGCAGGGAAAGGTGCAAGAAGCCAGGGCAAGAAGCTGAAGCCAAAAGCAATGAAATGTGAAATGAGCACCCTGGATTTAAGGTGGTTTAAAGGTGAGTAATCACTGGAACAGCTTCTAAGGGAAGGAGGATTTTCTATCTGTTGGTGTCTCCTGGTCAAGACTAGACGCCTTTCTGAAGGAGATTTTTCACCCAAACTCAAGTTACTGAGCTCAATACAAGGGAACCTAGATGGGCTCTGAGGGCCTGCAATGCACAGGGTGTCTGACTAGGTCATTTCACAGGACTTTCTGGCCCTAAAGTTTATGACACTCAGGCCCCCTCTACGCATGCAGGTAAGGGTACGATGGGATCCAATGTGTGACCCACACAATCCACACACGCACGGCAGGACGCGTGACTGTGGGATCGCACATCAGATCCCACCTCACCTTACTGCCGGTGCACCAGTGAGAAGCAAACTCCCACGGCTGGAAGCTGCCTCCGCTCCCTCCCCTCCCGCCGCCGGGCTGGGAGCTCACAGCCACCCCTCGTGGCTGCCGGGACCCCGCTGGGGCCTGGCACTGGGAGGCGAGCTGCAGGAGCCCGGTGTCTGCAGGACCCAGAGTCCAGAGCTGGACATCTCCTTACTGGTGGGAGTCCCAGCCCCAGCTGGGCACAGTGCACTCCCGCACCCGGGAGTCTGGTCGGCTGGTGGGGAGGCCCTGCTGCACGTGCAAATTAGAGCTGGGAAGCAACCAGCTATAAAGGTTGAGGTCTGACTTTATAGCTGGTTGGAGCTTTTTATTGTGTGGTAAGTACATGTAGCTGGTCTCAAGGTGACTGAGCAATTAACCAGTTAATTGCATGATACCTGTAACATGTGGAAGGAGCCTCAGAAAAGAGGGGGTCATTATTATTATTAACTGATCACTGCCCATCTGTACCCTCCCACTGCAAAGCATCTCCCCCGTGCGCTGATTAAGAGGCTACGATTAGCCATGGTACTGCAGAGAGTCCCACCCGGCTCACACGGGCACGATCTGCGTGTGGGATTTGGGCTGGCAGCAACAGGCCAAAAGCACAGGGACCAGGGCAGAGGCTTTGCAGGGATGTGGAAGAGCCCCTTTCCACTCTGCTCCTATTGCTGTTGGGTTTATTATGTTTCAGTTTTAAACTCGGAGCCCTACAGAAAATGTGGGTTGTGACTGGACTTCCTCAGGCATTCACCATTGGGGAATGCTCCAAGTCCCTGCTTCCTACCGTACCGTGCCGCAGAAACTACCAGCTACAGATAGCAGCCTCTCAGATCACGACTGAGTCCGTGTGACAGCATCTTATCGCCGGCTCCCCTTCCTCATCATCTGCAATGTCCACGCTAGCGCCTCGAAGCTGGGAGCTGAGGATTCCTGGCTCGCGCTCCGTTGTGGACAACGCTGTTTGCTTCTGGGTACCGAGGGGTTAGCAGGGAAAAGGGATCCACCTTTCAAGGAACGGTCAACTTCTCTCAATGATCTGGGAAGCTCATCCACTCCCCGAATGATGGAATAGGCCTTTCCTCTGAAAATCCTAGCCAGAGGGCACGGCAGGGCAGGCTGCTGCACAGCTCCGGGCACTGCGGAGCGGAGACCTGCCTTGGTAGATAGTTAGGTCCAAAAGTGGGGCAAAGACGACCCGCAGGCCGGAGCATCGAGCTGGCAGAACTGAAATCATGGTGGCACGACGTCACCATCTTTTAGGGCTTTGAGGTGAACCTTTTCCTCTGGCTCTGTGTGCATTTACCAATCTAAAACTTATACGAACATGCAGACTCAACCCAAGCGAGAGCCCGGACAGATGCTACATTTATGGTGTGATTAACATTGTCATCACTCTGTGAGTGGCAACGCACCATGTGTTCAGTCAACTTATGGTGCCAGAAAATGACACACCACAAAGATGCTCCACATGTAACAGCACCGTACGCTGAGCGTGTGGGATGCCCCAGTCCTCACGTCGACGAACAGCGGTTGTTGGCATCAGGCAAGGGACGGCAGCTCAAGTCGCCTGGGCTGATGCCAGTGATAGCTGTTTGTCAGCACACGGACAGGGCAGCCCAAGGCAGGCCGGGGCTGCCCGGGGTCCGGACACGTGTGGGGGGGAGAGGGAACCGATCAGCTCCCATCACTCAGCAAGGTCAAAGCGAGGAACCTGGCGGCCCCGCATGCTTCCAGCTCCTGTCTTTGAACTTGCTGAGCCGGAGGCAAGGGGAGAGGCAGGGATCGCACTGACATCCCTTGCCCGGCGCTTGCAGAGCCTCGTGCCTGGCTGGGAGCGTACCGAGTGCGAGGAGACAGCTGACTCCCCGTGGGCTGCGCTGCGCCCCGCTTTCAAACTGGCGGTGCACGGGGAGCCTGGGAGCGTGACCCTGAGCTCCTCGTGCGCTGGCAAGTCGAAAAGGCGCGTTTGGCTGTGCTGACAGGACGTGATCGGGATCTTATGCCCGATTCCCAAAACCGCGTGTCTTGCCATGCACGTGTGGCGCGGCAGGAGGCATGACTGGGTCAGGGCCTGAGAAACAGGAGACCTTTTCAAAGCACTTGAATTCTGGGAAAGATACGGAAATGGAGATTAGTGACGGTGGCATTTGATGCGTGCCATCTAGGAGAGATTAAAGGACCTTACCTTACGTACGCTAGAAAAAAATACAAGGCCAGAAGGGCCTCTCTGTAGTCACTCTCTGCGAATACTTGGGAGGGGTAAATGCCAGGAAGGGAGAAGAGATCTGTAAATCACAGGGCAGAGCTGGCAGCAGAACAAGTGGGTGCAAAGTGGCCGTGAATAAATTTAAGCTGGAAATCAGCAGACTGTCTCTCATCGGCAGAGCAGTAAAGTCTCCCAAAAGGGGATAAAATCTAATATTTCTAGGACGCCGCTTGGAAAGTTTCTGGAAGGAGCATTCCAGCACGGCCGTCTGCGACAGCACCCCCAGGACGTCTCCACTCGTCCTACGCTCCCGGGCACGGGCCGGCCTGCTCTCAGAAGCATTTGCAGATTGTAGATACCCTCCTTTCTCGTCGTCTGATGGGAATAACCACCCGAGTACAGTGTTATATAGGATCTGAAAAGGGAGGGTCTAGTGTCCGTGGTTCACAAGGCTTTAAAACATTTCAGCGTTTGTCTAGAACTACACGTACGTTGTTGGCAGTAGCAAAGACGTCCAGTTTACAGAACTGCACGTTCAAAATTGCAGCAAAAAGAGAAACCTGAGAAAAAACTCTGGACCCGGCCTGAAATCAGTGGGAGGAGGAGATGGATTTGAATAAATGCACCCTGGAGTAATGGGTGAAAAAAGCCCTTCACACCACATCACCCCATTTAACCTCTTAACGAGAGGCTTCAGCTGCTCGGGAGCGACCTTCACCCCGTGAGTAAATTCTCCCACAGGAAACAGCGTAATCGTTGCCACCCCCGCTCCCGGAAAGCTTTCCTAACACTAACCGTGTACCGTTCTGCAGCCGGTTCACATAGCTCGCTATCAGTGCATGCTCGTCAGCTAATCGACTGCCAGCATCCAGGCCGTACTGTAACCTAGTCGTCATGAAGGCAAAAAGAGCAAACAAAACAAAAATAAACACAAAGCAAAAAATTAATGAGCGTTAACAAAACACACAGTTAAACATGAACACAAATCGATGACCAATTAAAAAGGGAAATGGGTTTCAACGAGGGTCATGGGGAAGCGGGGTCTGTGGCTGTTAACGATTGACACAGAACCCGTGGGCGCTAATAGCAATGCCCCCCCCGTGCCCCCCGGGGCATAAGCAGTTGCATTAGTGGATGACAGCACCAGCAAAAGCCCCGGTCAAACGGCAGCGCTTGCGGCTGTGCTATTTTTCACTCACCTTCGGAGACGAGGTAATTTGGGTAAATCCAACACCTTTTATTAGACCAACTCGAATAAAAGATATCGGATTTACCCAAAGGACCTTGTCTGCCTAGGTCTTTAGACCAACACGGCTGCAACCCGTCAGCTTGGGAGAGCCACTTTTGGACCAGAACGGGAGGATGTCGGGTCGTGGCAGCGATGGCATTACCTTGACTACTGTCGTCCTTGGACGTCTCCACTCTGCACCGAACCGACATCTACCCATTCCCCGGTATTGAACAGCCGCAAACGCAACCAAATAAATGACAAAGCTGGGGCCTGGCTTTGTCATGGGAAATAGGAAGTGGCAGCACTAAGCACACAGGAGATGTTCAGCACATTACAGGAGCAGGCCCACAGCATGAAAACGGGGGAAACCAGGAAAAAGATGTAGTGAACGGTTTGAACAGAACCGGCCTCTAATGGGCACTTGTAAAGCAATCCTGCATTTTTATGGTACTTAAAGCAGACCTACAGTAATTTCCATGTTCACAAATTGCCTTTTCTAAATATGGAGACCAAGCACGAGAAGATTTATCGTTGGAAAACCACCCAAAATAGCCTGCTCAAGTAACTACTTGGCAAACTTCACAACCAAAGCAGCAAACGGATTTATTTGCCTATAGACCACGTTCACCACAGCAGCGTCTCAGAGACCCTGAAAGTATAGAGCAGAAAGGCACTGCCAATAAAGTCAACATTTTGCTCCCAAATTCACGAGGCAGGCGCTAGATCTGATATCCCGTCCTGTCTCTATAGACAGCGCGCCGTCTACGGTATCTGCTCCCCCTGGGCATCCTTCCTGCGTGTGGGGAGAAGGCCACATCTGTGCAGGGGATGGGGGATACCCTGCAGACATGAGACCATGCAAGACCATCATTCTTCCCAAACGCCTCCCAAAAATGTAAATAAGTTCTTGCTTCTCCAGACGCTCAAAGTGCTCTTTCAGCATGTTCATCCCAAATCATTCCTACTCGAGTAGTTGTTTGCAGAGATCTTTTAAAACACGATAGCTATTATTTCCAGTAGCAGGGCACTGGATATGCTGCAACCCAAACTGACATTTCTTGGACACACAGGCTCTTTTCCTTCTTTATAAAAAGTGTAGCTGGTTAGTATAGAAATCTGCCTGAAGCACAGTGAGACCTTATAATGAAAAAGCAAAACGGAATTACCCACGTAAACCCCTGTGGGCAACAAGCAACCTTTGCAATAATGGGTTTGTAACGAGAAAGAGAGTTAACATTAAAAGCTGTGCGGACGAACTCTTAAGCAATCTACTTTTGTGTCTTTGTGAAGCCTGACTACAGCAAAGTACAGAAAAACTTAACTTTAGATCCCATTTTAGGAAGCATCGAGCTGCTACCACAGTATTGAAGACTG